AAAAAAATAAATAAATGAAAGTAGAAATACATGAATAAATAAAGATAGAAATAAAGGAACCTGGGCGAGGGGTGGAGCCGCTGCCACTCGCCCCCTTTGGCCCGGACGGCCAAGGACGGGAGCGCGAGCCGGGCCGGACCGGGACCGGGCCGGGCTGAGACCCGCTCCGCGGCTCGCCGGGCTCGAAGGAGAGAAAGAGGCGCCGGGAGGGGAAGCTAGGGGGAGGAGAAGAGGCAGCGGGGGAGGAAAAACATCGGCGAGGGGAAGGAGCCGGCGGAGGGAAGCGGAAGCGGCGCCGGGGCCGCGCGGAGCCCGCCCGGCCGCCCCGCGCAGCCCCGCGCAGCGCCGCGCAGCGCCCCGCGCCGCAGGTAGCTCCTTGCGGCGGGGACAGCGGGAGCCGGGGCGGGAGCCGCGGCCCGTTCCGCATGTGCTCGCTCCTGGGAGGGTCAGCGGCATGAGGATGGGTCTAATGATCTCATCTTTCCTTTCTTCCCCGGCACTATTAGTGCTCAGATAGGCAGAATGAAGTGAAACTACGTGCAAATCATGTGTAAATTGTCTCAGTTAGGAGCCCTTTATCCGGACGTGTATCCCAGCCTGGCCCATTTACTTTCCCCCCATATCTCCTTTAGCTTTAACGAGGCTCGTTAAGATCACAATAATATTCCACCCTCTAATTGCTCATCCCATTCAACAAATATGTGCACACTGCTTTTCGCATTATTTGATCCCTTATTTAGGAGGCGGTGTGGAGAGGGAAGGCGGTGGAGGGGGGGGGAGACAGGGAGAAGGGGAAGTGCTGAGATTAGGAGTTGCAAAGATTAGGAAAAAAAAAAAAAAAATCCACGCTTTTCCAGGCCCCCCCTCCCGCTCGCTTCCCTCCCCCCCGCGCTTTGGGGCGAAGTGGTAAAAACCTCCCTTACGTTCTCCGTGATGATTGGCAGGGCTGACAGTGATTGGCAGCGGGCGCCATGGCAACGCCACAACGACACGCAGGAGACCAATAGAAAAGCGAAACAAAATGTTTCGGCGCTGCACTCACCGTGGATTTAGGGGCGATATTATGAGGCTGTTGTCATTAGGGCGATCGCTGGCGCATCCCTGAATCCCGGCTCGGCGGCGACGCGGGGCCGGGGGTGCGGGAGCGTGAGTGTGCGCGTGTCCGTGTGCGTGTCCGTGTGCGTGTCCGTGTGCGTGTGCAAGGCTGCGCGTGGGCCCCCGTGCCTCTATGTGGCTGCGCGTGTGGATGCGCGCGCGGTGCGTGTGCCCTTTCCTCCCTTCTTCCTCCCTTTCTTTCTTTTCTCCTTGACTCGTCTCCCCCTCTCCCCGGTCATCCCATGGTGTTCAGGTCCCCGCTCGAGCTCTATCCCACCCATTTCTTCCTGCCGAACTTCGCCGCCGACCCGCACCACCGCTCCCTCCTTCTCGCCAGCGGCGGCAGCGGCAGCGGCTCGGGCTGCAGCCCCGGGGCCGGCGGCGGCGGCGGCAGCTCCCGGGCGCCCCACGAAGAGTTGTCAATGTTTCAGCTGCCCACGCTCAACTTCTCCCCGGAGCAAGTGGCCAGCGTCTGCGAGACGCTGGAGGAGACCGGAGACATAGAGAGGCTCGGGAGGTTCCTCTGGTCGCTGCCGGTGGCGCCGGGGGCATGCGAGGCCATCAACAAGCACGAGTCCATCCTGCGGGCCCGGGCCGTGGTCGCCTTCCACACGGGCAACTTCCGAGACCTCTACCACATCCTGGAGAACCACAAATTCACCAAGGAGTCCCACGGCAAGCTGCAGGCCATGTGGCTCGAAGCGCACTACCAGGAGGCCGAGAAGCTAAGGGGGCGCCCGCTGGGGCCGGTTGATAAATACAGGGTGAGGAAGAAGTTTCCGCTGCCCAGGACCATTTGGGATGGAGAGCAGAAGACGCACTGCTTCAAGGAGAGGACTCGCAGCCTCCTGAGGGAGTGGTACCTGCAGGACCCTTACCCCAACCCCAGCAAGAAAAGGGAACTGGCTCAGGCCACTGGGCTCACCCCCACGCAAGTAGGCAACTGGTTCAAAAACCGAAGGCAAAGAGACAGAGCCGCGGCGGCTAAAAACAGGTCAGTGCGGAGCGTCTGCAGAGCGTGGGTTTGCCCTCCTCCTCCTCCTCCTCCTCTCCGCCAAGGCAGCTGGGGTCCGCGGGCTCCGCGGCCGCGCAGCGCTGCGGCGGCGCGGGGAGACGTGCAAAGTTGCGCGGCGCGGCCCAAGCTCCGCGCGGCTCCCGCGGAGCTCCCCGGGCACCTCAGTGCGTTTGTGTCCACTCGCTGCGCGCTCGTGTGCGCACAAGTTGGGTGACCTGGGGGCGAGCGAGACAGCAACCGGTCCTTCCCTTCCCTGCGCGGGCGGCCGCGGAGCCCGGAGMTGATGCGGGTGCTGCGCGTTGCGCGGGGGTTGCGCGGTGCCGGCYGCCCAGGGCTGCGCGGGAGCGGGTGGCGTCTCCGTGGGGCCTGAGGGGTCTCTCGGGAGCCGAAGGAAGCCGCTGCCCCCCAGGTCCGCGCGTCTCCGAGTGGAAAAGGGAGAAAAGCCTCTCGGAGGTCGCGAATCGTCTCCTTCCCCGCGCGCGTCCCTCTGTTTACACCACATGGCGCCCCGGCCCTGTGCTCCTTGTGCATCCATGCTGTTACGCTGGCCTTCATTTACGTGTCTGTCGGTGTTTTTATTTTATTTTGTCTTGGTTTGGGAGGTAAATGTTTTTAATTTTTTTTTCGCTTGGGTTCGTAGAAGTTATTTCTCAATTGAAAATGGGGCCCTTAATCCCGCTTGAACTACTGTTTTAATTTTAATTTAACTTTGGAAGCGTTTAAATGAAACTTCCTTTTATTTTTTTTCCTCCATTTAATTGCCGTCTCCCCCAKTCCTTCTAATAATGGCGTTGATTCGGAATTCTGTAGGAGAAATGCAACCTGAAAGTGCCTCGCCATTTAATTTCCATTAAATGGAGAGCAGATCAGCTTAGGACTGTAAATAAACACAAGTTGCCTACGGATGCTTTTGTTGACTCAACGCTGTTGACAGCAGATGAATGCACCCGAAATTGTAAATGAAGAAAAAAACAAAGACTCTGAAATTAGACAGCTAAAATAATGAGAAATGTAGAACTAAAAATGGCTACATTTTCTTGCTCGTTGTGGGCAGCGAAAGAGAAAATAGCCTGTTGAGAATCAGTCAGGAAAGGAGTGTAATTTGTTTCACGGTGGCAATGTTAGGTGTTGTAGGTTGTGTTTGACTGTTCTGTCCAGGACTTTTAGCCCCTTCCCCTAATCTTTGAATTAAGCTCACCTTGAGTTTTTGAGTTGAATGAACGGGTAGATAGGAATATACATAATATGGCACTGAGAAAGAAAATTATTTATTGTCTCTTAAAGAAAGAAAAGAGAACGCACCACAGCAATATTYCCCAAGTGCTGACAGTGGAGGGACAAGCTCTTTAAAGCTTATTTCGCCTTTCACACTGAAAAGGGACTTAAACTCAGAGTAGGGAAAAAACCCTGCGATCCACAACCGTCCCTTTTTTGCTTTTATTTCGCCCATAGCCCTGTGCCCCTGGCCGAGCAGCCTCCCCCGCTGCAGCCGCAGAGCCCGAGCTAAATCCCTGCTCACGGGAAAGCACTGAGGGGTCCCTTCCTCGCGGGCACCCGCGCAATCTCGCCGCTCCCCTGCGCAGCCTTGCGCGGGCGCTGCGCGCTGCGGGGCTGCCGAGCGCCGCCTCCTCGCCCGTGGYGGCTCCGCGGCGATGCGTGGCGCGCTCGGGAGGTTGCGGGGCGCAGAGCCCTGTCCCCATCGCCGCGGCCTCCGCGGGCGGCTGCGCGGGATGCGCTCGGCTCGCAGGGGCGCTGCGCGGGATGGGGCGGGATGGACTCGCCTCTGCGCGGCGGGAAGCTGCGCGGCGCTGCGCGCTCTCAGCGGGGCTCTGCTCTGTTTTGTCTCCCGCCGCGCTGCAGGCTCCAGCACCAGGCCATAGGACAGAGCGGCATGCGGGCCCTGGCCGAGCCCGGCTGCCCGGCGCACAGCGCGGCCGAGTCCCCGTCCACGGCGGCCAGCCCGACCACGAGCGTCTCCAGCCTGACAGAACGAGCCGAGACGGGCACGTCCATCCTCTCGGTAACCTCCAGCGACTCGGAATGTGATGTATGATAGCGGAAACAAACAAACAAACAAACAAACAAACAAAAACAGCAAACCCAAGTCCTACCCCAGCCAGCCAAGCACCCTCTCCCCCCCGACCCGAGCAGAACAAACCGAGGCAACCCAGGATGAGGACCCCCGCACGCACGCACGCACACACAGAGGCAGCAGGGCAGGCGAGGCCGGCGCCGAGCCCGCCAGCCGCGGGAGCAACCGAGCAGCCAGGGAGCAGAGCATCCGCCACCGCCACCGGCAGCCACCGCCACCGCCAAGAGATGGAGCTCAAACTTCAGCAGTCACAAGCGCTGGTGCTGTTGCGGGGAGGGAAGGAGGGAGGGGGATAAGAATTATTATATATATATCCAAAAAAAAAAAAAAANAAAAAAAAAAAAAGGAAAAAATAACCAAGCGAAAGTGACAATTGTATTCTTTTTAGGACAAGCACGATTTCTCCTTTGCGCTTTTCCATGGACGCATTTCACCCACTTGCATGATGATGATGATTAAATTTGTATCTGGGAAAAAATATTCTCTATAGTAAAGGAAAGCAAGCAAACAAAACGCAAGCTCCAATCGAATTTGTACAAAAAGCAAAAATAAAAAAAAATTAAAAGGAACTCCTTGAAGAGGGAAATAACAAATGTTTATCGCCTTTTTGTTGGTCCTCTCTCTTTCTCTCGACCCTTTCTCTCTTTTTTTTTTTCTTCTTTTAAGTCCAAGTGATCGTCCAGCCAAGATGCAATTTTCTTTTTTTTTTTTTTTTTCAGCAGACAATCATTTTATTCGTAAGCACCTTTTTTTCTACACTTCTGTCACTGCCTGTGTGGGTACTGGTTATAAATGTGGGAAAAGAATAGTTATGACTGTAACAGATTTTTATTTTTATTTCAAAATTTTATATGAATTATGTATATCTTAATGATGCGGTCATTTCCCCAGTTTGTAATATATGTGTAGAAATGCTTGTATATGATATTTGCTCTATTCTTTCTTTCTCCCCCCCCCGCCAGTCTATCTCCCTCCCACCCTTTCTTTCTCTCTCTCTCCTTTTTATTTTCCTTGACTCGGTGTTCCTTGCACAAACTTAGCTGTCAAGATCTGACGTGCTAGGTTTTCAAAAGGGACCTCAGCGATAGAAAAAAAAAAAGAAAAGAAAAAAAAGAAAAAAAAAAGCTTAGGGTGCAACTGTAGTTATCTTATGCAAAAGCTATTTTGAGTATTTCATAGCAGCTTTGGGGGGTCTCTTCTTAAACTCCACGTAGGACGCTTAAACTATTGTTTCCTTAACTGCGTGTTTATCTATATGTACAAACTTTCTAAATCAAATACAGTATTCCATTTTCTTATCTATTCCGCGGTGTCGCTGTGTTTGTCCGCTGCGAAGGCGCGCGCCCTGCCCCGCGCACGCGGCCGCTCCGCGGGGCGCGCAGCTCCGCGCAGCGCAGCCGGGAGGGCTCGGGCCGCCTCTCTGCCGCACAGGGGTGTCTGCGGGGAGCGCCCGAGACTTTTCGGGGGGTGTTTTGTGGCTTTAAGTGAAAACAAAAACATAAACTCCTCGCCCTCGCCAGGCTGCGGCTCCTCCCCTCGGGCCCGCAGTTTATTGTAATGCGCTGAAAGGAGCCTTTATTTGCATGACTAACAGTATTTCAGCATTTTTTTTTCTTTCTTTTTCTTTCCTTCTTCTTTTTTTTTTTTTTTTTTTTTTAGTTTCTTTTCTTTACATTAAACTTTTGCTTTTGCCCTAGGCAGATTATTCAGCCGTGAATTGACGAGAGGTAAATTCTAAACTTGTTTTTACTTGTAAATACAATTTTGCAACTTGCCACGGTTATGCGGGGGGGAAGGAACGTGCCTGGAATTTCTTGACCATTCGCAAACTAATTTGGACTTCCGATCTACCTTTGTGCTGCAGGGGCCCTCGCTCCCTTTCCTTCCCTCCCCTCAGCGCCCGAGTCCAGCCGAGGTTTGGGGAAGCCCGYGGGGTCGCTGGGCCTTCCCCTTTCCTCCTGACAGCCCCAGAGGCGACCTGGGCAACAAAGGGACCCTCCTTCGGGTGGCCAAACCTCATCCGAGGCCACGAAGGGATTATTAGAAAGAATACGCTGCAGTGCGTGAATATTCCCATGCCTTTATCATCCTCCCCGCGGTAATTCCGCGGGTAGGTGCGCAGCGAGTGCGAGAGGGAAGCGGGAAAGCGGAGCGGTGGGGACAACGTCGGGGACCCCCGCCAGCCCCGCGGGGGTTTCGTCTCCGGGCGTTGCGTGCTGCGACCCGCGCAACGCCCGCCGCCCCTTCGGCTCCCGCGGGCGGTTCCGCGGCGCTCGGCTGCCTTCCCTTCCCCGCCAGGGTTGAGCTCCCTGCTCCGTCGGGAACATGCATGGGGAATGGGATTTAAAAGAAAATAAGGCCCTGGTGCCCAAATCGGCCTTGCGCGGCAAGGCATGAACAAGGAGGGGGGAACAGCAGCGCTCCCGCGCATCGTCCGCATGGGAGAAATGGMTTGTTCCTTTCCTCCTCCATCAGCCCTATTTAGCATTTAGAGGAGAGAAAAGAAAAACCGTGAGGGAATTAAAGGTGCCTAGATGGGGGCCACTCTCTGACGAGTCTGGCTGGAGCTGGTGCTTCTCTTTGCTCCTTTCGCAGCGAAGGGACAGAGGCCTTGCTGGAAGTGTGGGGCGAGGAGAGGTGGGGGCAATCCCGGTCCCTGGAGTCGCGTATCCCTTGCTGTCTCCACGACTTTCGGTAGGCAGGACATCTTCCGTAGCGGTACGTTATTTTTAAGTGCAATATTTTTGCTCCTCGCTCGGAGGAGTGTCATTCCGAGGCTGCTTTATTTTTATCGAGACTGAATATCTTCGAAGATTCAAAGGCGTGAAAAGATTCTCTATTTCTTTTCTCTTTCTTCCCCCCTTCCTTCATTTCCATGTCTCGAAGCTGCAGCTAGAAGGCGTCGAGCGGCCAGCAGTAATTCCTCTCCGTTCAGCGCTCCTTGCTCTCCTTGCATAGGTAGCTGTGGATTTTTCATATCGCCCCCTTCCCTATTAAATCTCCCAGATACCGGGAATCACCCGTAGCCTCCCTCCCTCTGTGGGCAGCGATCGCGGCCAGGAGCTCCTGCTCCCGCCGTCGAGCAGAGGCTCTGGGGCCAGACCCGGCCTTTCCCCTGGGAGGTCTCTGCTGGTGGCCGCGGTCCAATGTCCCCCGGGATAAGGGGGACCCACGGGCGCGCAGGCTGCGCCACGCGGAGCGCGGCCGCTTGCGCTCGGTGCGCGTAACGTTGCGCTGGCCCCCGCAATGCCTACGTGGGGATGTTGCAGGATTTGCATTGAAAATCTGAATGACTGAGAGGGATGTAAATCTAAGAAAACCGGCGTTTCAGCCTGCGCGCCCTCTAAGAGCGACTGCCCCGGCAAAATAGGGCTTACCGAGAGCAGCAATATGGAGAGCCGGGCTCCTACCGTCCCTGGGCCAGGCTTTATCGACGGGCCCTCTCTAGCGCTACTTTATTGCCCGCGACAAGCCTGACTCCTGATTAAGATGAAATTACTCGGAAGCCGAAGTGCGGCGGATCGATATTTCGGCGGAGGCCCGAGGCCAGGAGCCAGCTGCGGCTGCGCAGCCTCCGCGGGAGCCCCCGTGGGCGCCGCGCCGTCGGGGTGGCAGAGCGGCCGCCTCGGGGCCCCCCCGTTTTGGGGCGCACCGCCCCCCCAGGCCGCCCTGGGCTCTTCCTGAGCTCCAGGCCGGGCGAGGCCGCCCCTTATCTTACAGCCCCGTGCCCCCGATCGGTTTCAGAGGCCTTTGAGAGGGGCTCGAGCCCTTCCTGCCCGTTGCCCTTAATTTTTAGCATAGCCCGGTGAGATTACAGCCCCGGCCCAAAGTGAAAAGAAACGTGGACGTTGGTGCCCTGGTATTGCTCTGATTTCTTCGGTTAGCTGAGCACAACTTTCTATTCGTGTTTATTCATGCAGTTTCTTATTGAGCTCCACATCGCACTGGCCTGGATTCCTCGTGTAGGGAGAGGATAGACAAGCATTGCTTTTTTTCGTCTTTTTATTTTCTTTTTTTTTTTTTCATTTTTTTTTCTTTTTATTTTTTTTTTTTAATTCAGAGCACACGGGCACAGGGTGCGCAGGGAAACACAAGCACATGTGAGTCCAAAATACACTAGGCACCCACGGCCTGCAGCAGCAGCATCGCCTCCTTGTCCAGAGCCCTGAAATACAAAAGTTTGTAAATGGTCGGGGGGAAAAAAAGTGTATGTGTGTGTATGTTTGGTGGGGGGGGCTATGAACCAAAACATCCTGTTGCAAAATGACCGGGGGATGGAGAAAGAAAGGAGGTTAAAGAGGGAGCAGAGAAAGAGTTGGGAGATGGAGAACCGGGGTGGGGAGAGCACTGAGGATATTAGCGACGATCACGGTAAATATTCTGTTCTGGCACGGTAATAACAAAGGGCACTGGCTGCGGGGACATAGCTATGATTAAATGATGCTAAAGGGATTTGGGTTTCTATGCCTTGGGGGAGGGACTTCAGTTATGTCAGTTACGTTTTGTTTTCAGCTCTGTTCTTTTTTTTTTTTTTTCCCCTATCATTATTATTTTGTAGAAAGATGTCTGCAGAGTAGTAGGTTTCAGAGCCATTCTGCAGCTCGGGAACTGCAAGAGAAGACAGATGCAAAAGGGTCCTGAAAGAATGAAGGCTAGATGGAAATATCTGCAAGTGTGTGACTGGAATCGCTTTGCTGGGAAGCGGCTGAAGTGGCARGAACAGCTCTCCGTGGAGCAGGCAGGTCCTTTGCTGAACAGGTCTAAAGAAAGAGGAAAACTACGCTGGGAGTCAGGATTGCAATATGCAAAGCCACAGTGTGGCTGCCTTTAATTCCAGTCCTAGCTATCAGAGGGAGGTTTAGCTCTACTGCAAATATTTGCTTTTTTTTTTTTTTTTTTTTTTT